AAAGTTATCATTGTCAAGTGTAAAGTGTCATGCTAGATTGGAAGTTGAAGCAGCAGTAAGGGGGCTTAGTGAATGGGACTTTTTGTTGTTGTTTAATCAACTCTCCTTATTCATTATTTTAGGGATAAAATAAAACACTAAACAATATTGGTGGCTGGTAGAAAACACGAGAGGGCAATGAAGAACAGTCTAGCAGAGTGAGACATGTAGCCTGTTGTGTGATTTGTAAATCATTCTTTGTGTTTAAACATAATTTCCATTTAATAGAGAAAATGTAGATGCCACTACACACTGGTCCTTGGCTCCAAAATGTTGTGTAGATTGGCCCAGGATTTGATTCAAAAGGCTCAGAAGCAACGTCCCCTTCTTTTCTGAATCACTGTGGAGCTAGCTGATTCACTAAAACGTGGAGATAAAATGTAAGTCTGGCCGTATGAGACTGGATAACATTCTCCTTTGTGCTTCTAATGGGAAACAGAGGGAGAATCGTAAAAGGAAACACACACTTCCTGTAGGACTGGTCTGTGACGTACATAAGTGTGTGTGATGGTCTTAGTGTGGCCTTAACAGGCAGGAATGTGACATCAGCAGCAGGATCCCGCATGAAGGATAAGCCGCCGCCAACACAAACACACGCACAGCCAGAAAAAGATGTGGCCAAGGGTCAGTCAAACAGCAGAGGAGAAAGGGAAGGATGTCCCCTCCTTTGAGATTTTTTTTCCACGGCCACCCACTTGGGCTCGCCTTCCCTTCTTCAAAGATTTTATAGATCACAGCAGTAATGAGTGATTTCTTTTCTCCGTAAGTATGAAGAAAAAAAGGCCCAAACAATGCCACAGAGTGAGCAATCTTCACAGGAACATAATCACTTCAACATTTCCCTTCACAGCTGCTCTTTGTAACTTTGTATACTAAGACGAACAGCATAGAAATGTGAGCAACACACACACACTTACGCATACTAGCCCACACATAGAAGACATACAAACTCAACCGCTAGTTCACAAAACTTATTTGGTCATTTACTTTGTGGCACTCCTTTTTAAAGAAGCCTGACAAAATCCAACACACATAAAGGACTGGAAGAAACAGTTGGGCTTTATAGTGAATTTTTTTTATAATAAGAGGTATGAGTACAACAAAAAGAGAACAAGAGTCGGAAAATGTTTTTAATAAGTTTGTATCAAATACAAATGGCCTCCATATTACCTGGATTCACTGACACCTAACCCTGTTTACTGGATGACTTAACACAGCTTGAATGCTTACAGTGGAAAAGTTTACAACAAGCGTTAGAGTAAAATATGAAGTGGCAGCAGGTCCAAACACAGGCTCACATCTTTATGGCTGCTGCTGTTGTCAGCCATAAAGAGCCACCAGTCAAAACACTTAGTAGTAGTCTTATCAGTACTGTCAGCCAATCATGGCTTTTTAAGTTAATATTAATGCAATTATGTAAATTAAACATAACAAAACAGAATGACTAAAGTAATACCATACCTAAATATACTTGATTGATTTTGATTTAGACTAGCAATAGGGTGTTTTTTTTGGGTTTTTTTAATATAGCACTTCTGGCCTAGACGTCACAGGTCTAGTCTTTCCACAGGAAATGATTTCAGATTTAGGAGTGGGTGGGTTATCTCACCATGAAAAAAAAGATAACATTTTCTACTGTAAATCTTAGTGTGACAATTCCACATTTCACATTCAGAGACACCATTCCTTTTAATGATTTTCATGGTTTTATGGCAGAGTTCCATGCTATCTATCTTCAGTTTATTGTAAACAAAGTGCTGTTGTTGATGGGAGCATAAAACGCATTACTTCCTGTGAATCTGTGGATGTTTCCTGGAACCTGTTTAACAAATGTCAGAGCTTTCACAGACTGAACATGGGTTGGATTCCTAATGCTTTAAACCACATCATTCTGTAAAAGGAAGAAGCAAAAGACATGTTTATGCCACAGATTAGGTTATGGTTAGTAATAGGTAAAAACTATCTTACATGTAACAGTAACTACTGTGGAGACATCAAAAGAAATACAAAGTCCATACAATAATACTCTCTTGTTAAAGGGTAATTTCACTCACAAACTGGATATTTTTTTATTTGTTTGGCAATTGGTTTTATCCGTTGTCATAATATACTCTCTAAAAAGATTTCTGAGGTCTAAGAGCACAGCTACAGTGGAAAATAGTGGAATGGGACAAGAAACAAAAGCGGGGAAGATGCAGGTTTTAAACAAAGCCCCTGGTTAGCCAATTGTATTTGGAAGACAAAACAAGGGCGAACTGTAAAATTATAACCCAAACTGTCAGGGTTTACTGACCAGTGACCTGATTCAACTCTGACCTACTCTACTTGCTCTACTTAATCATTCACACCTGTTTTTCCTGCGATTACCGGTTATTACAAATATTTTCACTTTCAGTTTTATTTTCAGATAAAGTGGTTATGTACCACATTATGCATGGTTATACTGTTGGCTTGTTGTTTTTGAGTTTTGCTGAATTTGGGTCACCTTTAGACCACATACTGAGGACTATGGTTCTGAAGAACAGCAGTGAACAGTTGAAAAGAAGATAATGAGGCAGGCAGGTGAATACAAATCAGAATAGTTCCTTCTTCTATTTGTTCTTGTCAGTGTGAGCAGATAGCATCAGTAACTTAGGATGAGATAAGGGTCCGTTTCTCCTCCATATCCCTCTCTCTAACATGCATGGGCACAAATCAGCACATCTCTTTCTGTATGTGCTTGTCTCGTTGCTTGCATATCTTACGTCATTACAACAGTACACCTGACGTCAACATAATTTGTAATTCATCATTTTGGTAGTGCTGATTCTGTGTGTAAGATTATTGTTAAATTCAAAGCTGGGCTCCAATAATAAATAAAGTTACCTAAATCCCTAAATTTCACTATAAAAAGTTATTAAAATTCAACCAAATGAGGTCAAACATTTATATGCAAAGCTGGTATATGATATGAGTGTGTTCTTGATCACTTCTTTCAGAGTAGATTAGCAGTGCAGAAAGTGTGTAATATATAGAATTCAGAAAGAATTTGACAGTAGAGATTCTCATTTACACCTCTGAGGTAACAGGCTGAGTGGAGTGAAGTGAACATCTCACGCTGCAATTAAAGATGTGAAATCAGCACATTTTGGCCTCAGAGTCACAGCAAAGCAGCCTTGTGATCTCTTGCTGCTGCCCCAGTTTCCAGTGTGCAATCGGGGGGGGGGAGTATGATGACATTTCTCTCTCTATCTACCTATCTGTTGGTCTCCATGGGGTTTCATAGAGTAGCTGCCAAGTGAGTCCTGTCTATCTGTAGGCCGTTTCCTTTTGTATACCCACAAACACACTCACATAACACAAAACAACCCACTAAACAAGGCTGCATTGGCTCTCATTGCTGCTCTGAATGTGTTCATGGTTGAATAGAGCACTGCTGCATCATAACAGCTGAGAGTGTGAGTAAGGTAAGACTGTCAGACGCAAGTTAATATCAGGCAAGTTGATATACCAACTATGGTTGAATTTCCTAACCCTCTGTGTGCACTTCAAGGTATTCATAGGATAGGTATGGAAACTATTACCAAGAACATAATAGAAAAAATGTGCCCACTTTTTTAACAGATAATAGAACTAGTTTGACAAGTTTGAAACATTGACATCATAACTCACAAGTATTTTCTCTTTATCTGAAGAGGTCTCTCAGCTGATACTGTGTGCAGATTTTGAAAAAATCAAAGCTAGAAATTTGACTGTTGTTGGTAGAATTGTATTTTGGAATAATCTGTTTCCAAGCCTTGTTGACCAAATAATATTGAATATTTTAAATGTCTTGACATAGTTGTTTTGTTAGACGTCTACTCTAAAATATATTGCTAAAATAAAAGTCAAAGCCAGGTTCCTACCTAAATGTATGCGTACATTACTAATAACTAATTGCCATTATGAAAGATGTATACCATGTTACACCGCTATAGTCGAAAAAGGGCTGTTGCATGTTGGGTTCCTGTAACACTGTTTACTAAATGAAGTGACACTGGGTTGCGACTGTCTTACCGGACAGGGTATTTAGAGTTGTTCGTTTTTTACGTCTGAGCAGTGGTGAGAAGTTCATATGCTTTAAACTACACATACACTGTCTAGTTAAGGAAGTTATTTTTGCCAGAATAGAAATGCTTTGATGAGGACGTCACTTGAGGGTGTCAGTGACGTTACGGGCTGCAGGCAACAAGAACAAGGTCATGTTCAGAAACTCTTTATAAAAGACAGCTAGTCTCTAGAGACAAGCAGTAGAACTCAATTGTGTCACATGAAACGTGACTCTACTGGCTTATATTCCTTTAGGATAGACCCCACCAAGAGCAGCCCAGGATCTGTATTGAGGACAACACAAACCAGTTACATTGTGCAGTGTGGTGTCATATTATGCTCGTCATCTGATGTCTGTAGCACACACCAGATGTGCCATACAGGCAGAGGTAAAGGTGCAGTAGCTAGGATACACTGCCCTGTAGAATGATTTAATTGCTGCTTTGTCTAGTGTGGAAAGAAGAGGTAAAACAGGCCAAGGAGCCCACATTGAAACCTGTATCAAGGCATGTGAGTCGCCCCAGACTGAACAATAATGGTATGTCCAGTTACAGTATTTTGCATCCCAAGGCTGCCCTTGTGAGTTGGTGATGTCATTTTCTTCAGAACTTTCTTGTAAGTTGAATAGATCTAGTATCGGTTTTTAGAAACCGAAGAATGTCATCTGCATAGTGCCCAGCCCTATCATTCTCAGCGGGGCTGTAAAGCTTTATAGTCACTACCAGACTTCCTAGATTTCAGTTTTAGCTTGTTACAAGAGAGAAAACTATGCACTAAATATTTATATACCTAATGAGGTAGCAAGACATAGTATATGCTGTGAATGCAGCAATAAAATCAGGTATAGGGAAATCAAAAGTACAGCAGAAATGCAACAGTTCGAGTACGTAAAGTTCATTTTCAATAAACTTTATTTTTATCCTATTTCCTCCCCAAATATGTTACATACAAAAAGTGATTGGAATTGAACATTTCCTTCTGTCAAGACCGTAACATTTACACAATAAATAAAAAACATGTATAAATAAAAAATAAATAAACAGGACATTATGTGCCAAAAAATAAAGACTCTTCTGAATTGGCAGATGGCTTTCACAATGTTGGTTTTTTGAAAACACATGTACGTAATACTTGCATTCCAGGTCACAGTTTTTAGGGTACAACTCTGGGTCAAGAAAGCAATGTAAACCGATAAGGATTACAGTAGAGTACAGTACAGTACAACAGAGCACAATGTTTTCTTTTTTCCTTAGTAGATATTACTGGGATATATACTTGTGATACCAGTTGTTCTAAAAGCTTATACCAGGTAGTGAGTGTAGTGCTATTGGACTTACTTTTAAACTTTGCTTAAAGTACAAAAGTAAATCCCACTGTAAAACCCATCTCAAATCCTTGTTTGTATCCAGCTTGACATTCACAAAGGGTTGTTATTGCACTATACAGACATCCCTCAGAAAGGCACTTTTATCCCCCTCCCCACCCTCATTTTCCAACCAACAGTTGTTTACCAGTACATGTGTGGCACACACGCACACTCACCTACTGTATGTGAATTTAAAAAAAACAGAATTTTAAAAACCAACAAAGAAAATGCCTTTTGGTATCTAGTTAAAAACAAATAAAATATTACAAGTGGTAGTAAAATGTTTTGCTTTCCAGATATTCCCAAAAAAAATAAAAGTGCAAAATTGTGTTGCTCCCATAGGCCCTTTAGAATGCCGTGTACCATTTCAGTGAAATTTGATTCCAATAACGAACAGAAAAAAAAAGACAAAAGTGATGTTGGAGGAGAAGCAGCTTCTCCAGACATTACCATCATCAAATAAGGCCAGGAATGTTATTTGTGCATGTGAGGTCAAGATCGTAGTGTGATCCTATAGCTGGCTCATTTTTTTCCTTTTAAATAAAAAATAAAATAAATGAATGTGTGCACCATAGTCTAAAGAGGCCAGAAACCAACCGAGGGTAGGAGGGTCTCTCTCGTCAAACTACAGTTCTCAAAGCATCTCTGCTGTAAGATCAGTTCCAGTGCAAGTCAACGCCATAAATGACCTTGCTGCTAAAATACTTTTGGAAAACTGAGCCTAAAAGCATTCCAGCTACAAGATTATCCCTGTTCCGTTGCAAGCAAATAAGACAATTTTAGTGTTTTGATACCTTCGAGAAACCATGCCTGGGTTATCGGCTGTCAGGGAAGCTGAAAGCTGCAGGGTTGGTTGGCGGCTTTGAAAGATCCAGCCAAGAAGCAGTGGTTTTGAGTGAGTGAGGGAAGGTGAATTGGGAGTTTGGGTGTTCATTTAGGCATCTGCCTGTGAGGGATCCATCATTTCAGGCCAGGTAGGAGTCTTAGGTATCAATACCTTCCAGGTGGATACCTTTGAGGCATGAGCTAGACAGGCACAAACCCTTGGGGCAGATGCTGCATTGGGCAACTTCCTGACTGCTTGATGTTTGTCAAGGTCAATCAATCTGATAATCAACTGCGTAAGCACCAGTCCAAAGAATATTTGCTCAACTTCTGAGTCTTCCATTGGTCAACTGAACAGGTGTCAGCTCCTTGCAGCACTGCCTCGAGAAATTATATCAGCCAGTCAGACGGCCAAAGAAGGTGTTAACCAGTCAGGCTGCCTCTAAGGCATCTGCCAATCAGGCAGCCTGGGAGGCACTGAGATGTGCCCTCAGGCATCAGCATGGTGTTGGAGCAGCTGGACCACATATCGCAGCCGGTGCCTTAGCTCGGAGGTGCAGCCCAGCTCAATCAGCATGCTGAGGAGGTAAGTGTATGAGACGCGTTCCCGGCTGATGTAGGTAAGTAGGTATGAGTCATCAGCTGACTTGCACAGGATGATCTTTGTGTGGTCTGTATAGAAGTTAACCTGGAAAGGGTTAAAACAGAGCATAATGTAAGAGGTTACCAAGATGGGTAAACCACATCTAACTTTGTTTACGCTGGTTTAAAAATCTATCTCTAAATATAGAATTTATTAGCCTTTTCTAACCTGTAGAGTGCCATTGTTGAAGAGCATGACCAGAGCATGGTCGGTCTTCACCCACTGAAGCAGCAGAGGAGGAGGACCTGAGACTTGCTCCTCACAGTGCAGATCTCCACCCTGAAGAGGACAGAAAATATTTTGTTTAAATCCCAGGATGTCACATGCACTTTGAAAATCTACAAAAGTTCAGTAAAGGGCTTCGTCTTCTCTCAGTATATACCTTAAATCATTACAGAATTCAATGCATACAGTCATTTGGGGTTTGACTGATCAAAATAATGGCTGCAAATTAACCACTTTGCTCATACCTCCATAAGGTTCTGCTCCATGTAATTTGCCATGAGCTCCACAATTTGTTTCTGGCTGCGAAGCTGCTCAGGTAGAGAATTGGTAGCGAAAGTGAAGTGTTGGTTGTTGGTCAAGCAGTAGTGGACTGTCCTGTTTAGAGAGAAAGAAAACCTTTTTAAAAAAAAAACCCCACATAATTTAAAGTGTTCTGATTTGTTTCAAAAGTTCTCTCCAATTTAATTTTAATGAATAAACAAAAATGTTAATAGCGGCTAGCTTGGAGCTATGTGGAAACTGGTTAAGTATAACATTGAATCAGTTCAGTTACTTGGCTTAGTCTAGTCAAAGTAATCAAGAAGTTCTAAGCTGTTTACATGACAGCTTAAGTAAATACTGTAGCTCTTAAGATACTTACTTGCGTTGGTTACAAAGACTGAGATGTGTTCCCTCATTGAAGAGCACACCAATGCTTTGGTTCGAGAGCTGGTAGCCAAAACCATATTTGTTTGAGTAGTCAACCCACTTAGTCACCCACAGGAAGGACTGTGGCCTGGACAAACAGGGTGGGTTCCTAGTGGCTGGAGAGATAAAAATAAACATCAAGTTTAGGATTATGGAACAATATCAAGCACAGAAAGTAACTATTCAAGATTGGTGGCATTTTTTTGGTAAAACGCTGACTTAAAGAAATACAATGTTAAGAAAGCTGTAAGATATAAGGTGCTCTAGGCTACATGAGTCAGCAGATATTCAGAGGATGTAAAGGCAAGGAAATGTTCTGGTTGATTAAACTTGAATGATTCTGCAAAAACAGAATGTAAGCTGGTTCATGTTTGGGGGAGCTGCATTTTTTTGGCATGCTGTTTTGGTACTCTAATCTCTGACACAAATATTTAAAGATGTAACTCAGCATTTCATTATTGCCATGAGGTTAAACACGTCGATCTGACTTTCCAATTATTATTATGCTCTAGGCCAAAAGTGCTCTTGTGGTCTTTATAGCTCAGTCTAATGCCTACCTGCAGGCATGGTAGCCAGGCAGCCGTTGAGAACTTTCATGGCCGATTCAGCAACAGCTGCAGGGCTCAGGACGTCTTCACAGGCTGGAGAGAAAACCAGAAGTTAGATCACCACAAAAGACAAAAAGGAATTAAAAATGCAATGCATACATTTACTGGGGCCTTACGTTCAGTGCTGCTGGCCATTGTGCCCTTGAAGGAGCGTGAGATTGACTTCCTGGATTCCTCTTCAGCAGGAGTCTGTTCCAGAGGCACAGAGCTGACCAGCTGATTGGTCGGAGAGGGCACCTGAGCAACAACAAAAGATATGATTTAACACATCGAAAGAGTAAGAGCACAAGATGGAGTAAGAAGAAACAAAACACGACATGCCAAAAAAATTAAAAAAAAAAAAAAAAAAAGTAACCACAGAATTAAGAAGAACTGCATGAGACATTCTCTAATTAATGTTTGCTTAGCTTGCTTAGCATTCGTGGGTCTAAAATAACGACATAGCCTCTATTGTTTTTTTTTGTGCATCTTATTGCCACTGCACTGGGGTGAAACTACTTTTAGTAGTACAGTTTCCTTGCCAGCATACAGCAAGTGTGATATGCAGTTTCTAATGTCATGTGACCACAAAGCAGTTTCTGAACATAATGTTTTTCTGCAAACACGCGTGCTAAAAAAGGGTTCCTCTGACAGCTACTTTGTGTAGTCAGAAAACAAAAAAATCCAGCTTATATTTCTTGACTACAACCTGGTTTCTCAGTACAGGCTCATTATGAAGCTGACAAAGAAATATTCACACCAAAGAGCAAACAATGCAGTTCCTATTGGGCTCTATAAATAGCAACTAGACCAGTCTGATTAGGGATTGGCCAACTGAACTTCCTGCTGTTGTGGCATTTAGTCACTCACAGCTGAAGCTTGCTAAAATGAATACACCAGTCTGTAGTAGGATTAAAATTACATAGTAGAGAAGAAAGGACATTGGGTTTTGCCTGTTAAGCAGTAACATTTCCTCTACACTAGAAAAAAAACTGGCCTCAATAAGACTAATGTACTTCTGTTCCTCACTAAATATTAACAGCTACCACCAACAAACTGTGCAACATCTCTCATCTAAATTTCACTCATCTGTTGATAGGCTGAAGGACTTCAGGGACCGTGCAGAATCTTACACTGCTATCTCAGTGAAACAAAGCTAAATAGCTAGAAAACACATTTGTAAAAGTCACTTTAAGAAAGAAGGATGATTCATTTGTATAATTAAAAGCATATGGCAGCCCCATATTCAGTCAGTCTAAGAAGGTATTTAAAGCTGGCATCTGCAATCCTATGAGAACTCTCGTCGCATAATTAAACTGACATTTTAGTCGCCATATTTCCACTAAATTGCCATTTTCTAAATGTTTTGTTTAAATATGCTGCAAAGGCGTTAAGCTTACTTCAAAACACTCATAAGAGATATCATCCGCCATGAAATTATTAACTTCTGTACTACTTGTCGGCTTTTATTACCTTCTTCGTAGCTGGAATTACCCCATTTTGTAAGTAAACAAGGCCAAAAAAAATTCCCTTGCAAAAGTAGGACACACACACACGGGGAGAGAGATTTACCTCATTTGGTCCCACTGTCTTGTAGCTGATCTGCCGATTGATGGAACATTTAACGATGCCTGACACCAGCTTGGAAATGTCTTTGTCATCTTTTTCCTCGCATGGAATCTTCTCCACTGCAATGTCAAGATTTGTGTATTTTAGTTACAATGTCTTTAACCACACAAGTGTGTATATACATACAGTAGCTCTTGGAAATGAAGGAAGGAAAAACTGAATACATTTTTTAAACATCAGTTCTCATGAGACAAAACCAGATTAACAAGATGACAGGTGTTACATAATTACATTTGGGAAGAGAAATATCTAAAAGATGTTCTACTAGATCTAGTCACTTGACTGCTGATTACCTTTTGCTTTCTTTTTGCCAAAGAGGCTCTTGGCCATTTTAGTGAAGAATTTCTTAGCAGGGCTGGGGGGGTGGAGCTCTGGTACCATCACACAGCTGCTGGGGGAAGCTTATCAGGGGTGAAACCCTAGAGTTAGAAAAAAAAAAAAAAAGGCAGACAGGGAACAAACAAGAAGGTGAGGAAGATGCACGGCACACAGCTCATTCACAGTGAAAAAGGATCAACTGTCAAGCGCTGACATGCAATATTCTGTTCCAGAATTTTCCATTTTCCCACTCCCAAAAAGCATTACGATCTTTAGCTAATGGCAAAAGTATGCATAAATGGACAACAGTATCAAATCCCATCATTTTTTCTTGAAATTGATGCGACTTTTGCGTACTTTGGTGAAGAACTCATGGTTGAGGATTTGATCCAGTGAGAGTCTGTCGCTGGGGTTTTTCTGCAGGATGCCTGAGATGAGTTTCTGTGCTGCAGGAGAGAGCGAGGATGGCAAGTTGTACCGAACTTCTTTTATACACTTGTAGGTCTCCTTCAGGTCTAGAGTCTCAAAAGGAGGGTTGCCGCACATCAGTGTGTACCTGAATGGGATAAACCAAAACCATTGATCAACAAATAATGATTTAGATTTAAACAAACAATCTTGGAGGTTGTCCGTTTTAAAAAAAAAACAAAAACATAAAATTAAGCTTAAATGAAACCAAAACATGTACTGCGCAAATGTTATTTTACACAACTGAACCACGTTAAATAACTTTAGGTTTAAATGAGCCAAAACTCACATGACACATCCGAGGGACCAGACGTCGGACTCTGTGCCATGGCCCTGTCTGTTGAGCACCTCAGGGGCCAAGTAGTTCGGAGTCCCACAGATTGTTCTGAGAACAACAAGTACATGACATATTAAATACTGAAAATTACTTTGTTCTGTGGTGGATGGTGTCAAACAGGTACTGAAACTGAGTGTTGCATTCAACTGCCACTTGGAAACCGGTTTAGTAAGGTACTTACTGAGGGAAAAGTAGTGGGAGGAAGTATGTGTGCTTAGTAGCTGACGTAATGGTTTTAAGTGATTGTGCATTATGGAAGCCCTGAAAAAAGGTCCAAGACTCTTAATGTTCAGGTTTTAGAGAGTTATGTTTATGTATAGAAGCAATGATTATGCTTTTTAAATTTTAAAGTTAAATAAGTTTAAATAAAGACAATCGTTCACAAAAACCTGTACTATTTTGAATGTTCTGATATCAATCTCTTCAGTCAGAGATTGTGGCTACCTCAATTATAAAAATGCTTAGAAGTAGTATTTAAAAATTCTAACTTTTTCCTCTGCTCGACTGTCTCCAGCTTGGCAGCGAGGCCGAAGTCTCCCAGTCGCAGCTCCATGTTCTCGTTGACAAAGAAGTTGCCTGAAAGAGAACATTTGTCCAGTCAGCATTCCACAAATAACATGTGCCTGTCCAAAGTCACAGCAGATTCCTGGGATGGTTTGCATGCGTGTGCGCCACATACCTAGTTTGAGATCTCTATGCAGGATCCCTCTGCTGTGGAGGTACTTGAGGCCGGATATGATCTGTCTGAGGTAATAACGCACTTCTGGCTCTGTGAGCGTGTGTCTCGCCTTCCAAATGTGTGCCAGGGACTGCAGAGAGAGCAATGAGTGAACTGTTAACCCCGCATCAGTCAGTGGGACTGTACAACACTGCTGCACACACACAGTGGTGCTGTAATTTATGTGGGTGTCTGGGACTCTACCAGCAATGACTAGGCTGCTAGGTTTGCATACTTTAAAATTAGGTTTAAACTAAATGACTATAGTGGGTATAGTCTTATTTCACTGGAGCAAAACAAGGCAAACTGAATACGTGCAACCAAAGCCCATCCAAGCTGAGCAGACTGTTAAGCTTTATGAAGTCTCACCTTCCGACTGCAGAGCTCGAGGAATATGTAGATGTTTTCTTGGTCTTCAAAATGATGAGAGAATTTCACCACATGCTTGTGCGACAGGGTTTTGTGGAGCTCGATCTCATTCGTTATCTGTTAAAAAAAAAAATGTGACAGGCCATCAATTTGTGTGTATATTTCCAACCCTAAAAACACAATCCAGATATTGAATTCAGGTACCGCATGGGCCTCTCTGCCAGACATACTGAAATATAAACAAGCATGATGGTGTACCTTGTCCCTCTGGTGCGGTTTGGACACCCTGCTCTGTGGAATCACCTTCACAGCATACATTTTGTTGTTGGAGAGGTCTGTCATCTCATAACATCGAGCAAAGCCGCCCTTGGGGGGAGACAGACAGGAAGATCAGTTAACAAAAGCAGCAGGTTGAAAACCTGCAATGGCCATAAATAATCTGCCTCAATGTCTTCGAAACGAGAATCAAAATAGCTGTACAGCAAACAAAATGATTTGACACTTTAGCCAATTGTGAATGGCTGGTGTGGCCAAAGAAATAACAAATCATGGCTCAAACATTATAGGGTTAACTCTATTCTGATGAATCATTTTGTGATCAAGATGATCAATTGACCAGCATCTTTTGTTGCCTTGGATGCTCTCATGATTCTCAAACCGACAAGCAACCCCAAATATCATGTTCACTGCTGCGTATTCATGCACATTTCTTGATGTAATCAAGACTTTAAAAAGGCTTGAGGACATGAGGGATGAGGCAGACCGAGCTGCTGCATTCATTAACCGTGAAACTGACGGAGACGTTTCCAGCTCTGCGGCAGGCAGCAAAGGGAAGAAAAAAAAAAAAGATTTGGCTGGCTGCCCGACGCAGCGTATCGATGACGAGCAACATGTTGATACAGTCACTCCATTCATACATCGCACATACTGTGTGAAAATCATTACAGCGGCGACATGGGAGAGGAACCGTGCTAGAGTCAGAGGCAGATGGATTTGTGGTTGTCTGAGTGAGATGACAATAAAATGCGAGGATTCATACAAACAATTACTCAGCTTTATTAAAAAAAAAAAAAAAAAAAGGTGATGCCAATCATGTGTGCGCACAGGAGCCGGGCACACCTTGCGCCTGATTCATTCAGCAATGAGGCGCACAGCGGTGAGAGATTGGTCCCCACGAGGTCATTCCCTATTCCCGCATTACTAACACACCTGGAAAACAGCCAGTCGTTTAATTTTAATCATCCACAGCTTCCGTATCACCCTAAACCAGCGACTCTTTAACACAGATTCTGGATCCACCGTTGCGCCTCTGATAAAACGCCTCAGAGAGATCCCTGTGGTGAAGCGAGAGCACATGTAACATTTAAATCGTCCTACCTTTCCCAAAAGCTTTCCTTTACTGTAAGATCTTCCCGTCTTGGAGTCTGTCACCACCTGGGCCAGCTCTGGTTTGGTTTGTTCGGGTTTATTCCTGCTGGTTTTCACCGGGGCAGAGGACTGTTGGGGTCCACGCTCAGGAACAGGCTTAAATAAATCCGCATTCATGGTGTGGCACGAAATACGCTGCGCCGCGGTGAAACAACCGGTATCCATGTAGCGCAGCGGTGTGAACGATCAGTTCGTATGTATATATATATATATATATGTGTGTATATATCCCTTTCGCCTTGTTTGTCAGTAGTTTGTCTGGTACGTGCCGATGCGTCCACCTCGTCCAACTGTATCCATCTGATCGAGGTCTGTGACTCGCTGAGGTTTATATAGCGTCACGGAACAGGGGGGCGGATGGGAGGTGGCGCACTGGTGGAGAAAGTCCAGACGATTTGCTCAGACACAGTCCCAATCAAAAACTGATCTGGAATGTAAGAAGAAAGAAAAAAAAAAAAAAAACATGAATGAAAAATCTCATGAAAAATAATCGATGTGTCTCACATTGATGTGGCTCGTGTGCTACTGTGAGGCCAATGACACGCTGTAACCCGGGCAGGCAGACAGACAGGCAGGCAGGCGGTGAGGGGGGTTTCCAATGTGTTGCATGTTTCAATCTACAGACTACATCCCTGAGGAGTCTTTATTCTGATGAGAATTTAAAAAGCAAATCCCCCTTTAGTTAATCTCTCCTGGGCTCTTATCTTTGGCGCTTTCTTAAAAAGGGAGATTGTGTTAAGACGTGTGTGTATGTGTGTGTGTATGTGTGTGTGTGTGTGTGTGTGTGTGTGAATGTTTTACCGAGCGTGGACTTTTCTTCTACTAACTTTTCTCAGTGAGAAATGCGTTGCAGTGGTTCTTCCCCAGGAGCTCTGATGATTACCACATTCACTCACGCGTCTCCGGGAGGTTACTATGCAAACACATCAACACGGATCAACATATTAACTAGACACATTCCGAGCAGCCATATTTCCGTGGAAATTTTACAACGGGTCATATGACCCTTATCTGTTTGTCCAAATTAATAACATGACTCATAAATTATTTTGGACCTCCACATAATAAAAATGAATGAGCCTTATAATTGATTTTAGCAAAACTGCTGATGAAGAATTTAGTTTGTTATTCTGCCAAATCCTTCGTGAATCCTACAAAATAAAAGCTCACATCTCTACAGTAAAATCGTGGCTTAGATTTCCCCCGTGTGTGTGTGTGTGTGTTTTATGATCCCCAGAGTAACCCATGCGAAATACAGATCACTGCTGCCACCTAGTGGACAAAACGTACAGCTCGACAGTTCATGCCCTGTAAATAACATAAAACTTTTAATTCAGTCTGAGATGTGCTGTGACTGTCAATAAGAGCAAGATAGGCCATGAACCATTAAACGCTGTACTGCATTACCCACAATAATCTAGGTGATCTGGTGAAGGATTGTATTGATTGTAGCTCTCTGTGATCGCATATCGAAATCATGACTAGCCAAATCTAATAAATAGTTGGTTAAAACGCTGAATGAAAACTGTTCTGATCTCAAAACCAGAAGACAAACAAAGAACAGGCAAAGAAGAGTCGGTTCAAGATGTATATTTGTGAGCAATTCATGAACAACCTGAGGGTGGGCAACAATACATATAAGGTGAAGACATGAGCCAGAGTAAAATAATCTAAATAATCAAAACATAATGTTTACATATTCATGAGAGAAAATCAAAACATGAACAGTGCAACTGTAAATAGAAATGATAGAAACATTTAGGAAATTAAGGAATTACAAAGAATGTGTTCTAGAGTAGTAGACTATGCAACAGGAATGGGTAAACTACAGACCCATGCAGGGATGCAAATTATTAAATGATGCATGGGTAGAACTGTCTTTGCAGCTGTCATCTTAACTATTTATGGAATGACAACAAATAAAAGGCTGATATAAAGACTTAAAAAGAAGTCAGAAGAGCCCTCTGGTTGTGTCCGTTAAAGGAACATGAGCATGACTTTGGCAAAAGTACACACGAAAACATCTTAAATATCAGCTCAGTTTAGCTGCACAGGAACAATATCAAGATGAGACTTTACAGACCCTGGTCAAATTTAAACTATGAAGCACTGACAGACATTTAGCTCAAGAGAAATAATTGCATTGTGGTACTTTAACCCATTAAATCTGGCTTTACCAAAAATAAAGTGATGAAACTGTGGGATTTCTTGCTGTGTTATGGTTGCCATCTGCTGGACAGTGGCCATACGTTCGTATGGGCATTTGCTGTGGGATTTATTGAGAGGTTTATGCATTATGTCCCATGACTATCAGAACACCAGGGCTGCACACTATTTTTCTAGTGTTTGTGGAAATATGATTTTATATATTGGACTTTAGGTTCAACCCATAACATTTAATATTCAAGTCATGTCAGCTGCCTCTTCTGCTGTGGTAAAGCAGTGAGAGCAGTTCAGAGGTCCATCATGCCCTCTCCTCGTATTTTCTTCTCTTGGGACTCCGACCAGGCTTTGTTGATGGTTCTCTTCATCTCGTCATCTCCCTCTGAGTAAATTTTCTTCAGCATGGTCATCAGGCCGTCACTCGGGTCTGCATTGTCATCTACATTGGGTTTACTGTTGAGGGAGGTTAAGATAACATTTTGTTTATCAGAATAGTGGGATACGCAGGCTGCATTATGTACAGTGACAACTAGTACAGAGATATGGTACTGCACTTTAATAAGCAGGCTGCTGCATGTTTGAGACAGCTGTTTGGAGTAATTGGCCAAATGTGTAGGACACTACTGACAAACGATGCCATTTTTTTATACAACTGCTCACACCACTGTCATTAGCTTGTAAAGAAACGTCAGTAGTAGCAGTAGTATGAATCATATGCATCATCATATAACACCTTGTAAGAATTCATCATTTGAAGCATGCAGTGGCCTTTCATCACTTAAAACCCAGCTTTGTGCAAATTAGCTAAAGTAAAATGCATCAATATTTCTTTGAACTTACTCCTTCTCTTTAGACTGCTTCTCCACCTTTGTTAGGCACTCCCACTTCTTTGCTGCCTGCTTCTTGCACATGACCAGGACCATGTCTGTTTTTATCTGTTGAAGGGAGGAAAGATGGTTACAGGCATTTCGGGGAAAAACAAGACTCTGCTGCTCGGTTTTCCCACAGAAGTTGGCAGATTGAACCAAAGGGTAAAATGCAAGTCATCACTGATCAGCAGTTGGCAAGAAAGTGGACGACTTTATGCCCATGTTTCTATGTTGCTGCTGGATCTGTAATAAACATTTAGCAATTGTTGAACAGAACCTCAGCCATAAGCACTAAATAAATCAATGTAGTAAATCAGGGGTGGTTGTTGCCAGTTTGTTCTGGAGTCTACTTTCTGTCCTGTAGGGATCACAAACTGCTTAAGGTGGTTCACCCATAACAACAGAAAGCGTCATCCATCCAGAGAAGGCTTTAGTGTACACTAATAATCTTTAGAAAGACAACATGATTTTGAAATGTGATCAGAAATTCAGAAATTGATTTAAGATGCTGTGTTATGGCTTAAATATTTTAATTAATTAGCCTCATTTCCTGCTACCAATTTGGACTGATAAGAAGTTCAACTTGCTGCCTATATCTACGTGTTACCAGCAAATAAATCATGCCAAGTTCTATGACAAACTCATCACTTCTTTTGACAGATGAATAGGCTTTATTTACCTTTTTACAGCTTTCCTTTTCATCAATTGGGAATAACAGGTTGAGGACTGTCATCTGGTGGTTTTTCCCATCTAGATTCTTTACCAAAACAGAAAATGATCTGCAAAAGAGGGAAAGATCAAGTTAAATTGTATAGTTTGTGATGAAAAATAAACACTCTGTATCCAGTATATATGTTGATTATCACATTACCCTTCTGTAAAGTTGACCTCCACATTTTCTGCTGGAATTTGGTGCACATCCTTCAATGTAAGGTAAATTTTGACAAATTTCTCTGACTGGTCCCAGGCTGCAGCGAAGATTCAAAAGTGTGAAACAATTTGCAAATACTTTTTCAGCTCTTGAGCACATTAACTGTTGCACTGTCTCAAAAATGACTGGTAGTTTTGCTAAACAATGGCACAGTACCGTAGTTGGTGATCTTGACTGTGTACGTTGCTTTAGAGGCAGCAGATGGGTCGGCCTCTCTCCTGGCTTGTTGCTCCTTCTGTTGTCGCTTGACCACTAGCTCCTTCTCCACCTTCTTCTGCTCCTGCTTTAGCACCTCCTGCACTCTTTTCCTCTCTGCCTTCTCCAAGAGTGACCCCAGCTCCAACAAATCTGCCTCCAACTGGTTGATCTGTATTGGGGAAAGAATTAGACCACTAGCAAATGCACACACCTGATTTAGACAACCAGCTCATCAAAGCTGAATTTGTTTCTCCATTAGTAGATCAACAGAAAACTACATTTGAATAATAAATCAGTCAAATGGCATGTCACATGTCAAGTTAAAACTATTAATAATTTTAATTTTAATTTCATTTCACTGCATCTACAATACTTAGGGTATTTTATGTTATTGGTAAGAACCAAACATTAATTTAGGTGTAGCCTCTGGGGGGCATTATTTAACCGTATCAGCTAAAAGTTTCACTTTGTTAACAAAAAACAACTGCGTGTATCATACTGACTTTGCTCGGATATGTAAGATTAAGTGTTTGACGCCATTGAGGGTAAATAATATGAGTGATATCTTTAGTTGAAATCAATGTAACGTTACTACCTGGAGCTGACACTCTGGAAGCAGAACTGATTAAAGTTACTCCGTCGGTAACGTTGAGATGCCAACTAACGTCAACTAACTCCCTAATCCAGGAACTGGGACATAGACCGTCCTCTAGCCTATCACTGTATATAACATATATTATAACTTACTAGTTTAAATCATTGTTACTTATGTCTCCACCTTACGGCGACAAATAACGTTACGTTACTAACTTAGGTTGCTCGAATGTTCTGGTAAACTCGAGTCAAAGCTAACTTACTGCTAACGTTGGCTAACGTTAGCTAGCAAACTACCGTTACTGAGTGTAGTCACTTCGTTATTATAATATTTGGCGGTAAATACGTGTTTTAAGTCTGGATAGTAATGTAGTGACTTCTTGAAACTAGATCAAAAATAACAGGCGCCACTTTGCCGTGGCTTGCTAACTAGCTAACGTAGCATTGCGTTCAGTGGTATCATGTAATTTGAGCCACTTCAGCTAGCTAATACCATATAAACCGTAGTTTGTATGTCAGCTTACACTAAACGGAATAAAAACGCGGTCTTTACCTGTTCGGTTGGATCCATTTAGGATATCAGTTATGTTCGCACGCTCGGTTCAGAAAGGTGTTTGTGTATCTACTCTTCCCTCCTCTTGTGCATGTCTCTGTCAGTCTGCAGCTCCCACAGCGGCGCTTCTTCTTCTGCTTCTTCTTCCTCTGGAGCTTCGCCTTCTAAACCAACCTATGGGTGCACTACCGCCACCTACTGGACCCAGTGCTGACATCCACTAAATGTTATTGGAAGTGGTGTAATTACATTTACATGGCATTATTTCGGCCTGATTTTAGCCTTTCAGACTAAACTCATAACTTTGATGAATGCAGATTTCATTCACCAATTATATGGCACCACGTTTATTGCTAATTTCATGTTTATATTTACACTATATATATATATATATATATATATATTAAATTAAGGTTAGTGGTTAACATTCATAGTAAAACCCCAGCATGTACATAAACTTGATCTGGGTTTACACCATTCAGTATGTAATTGATACAATTCGTTCAGTCATTGGGTTTGCCAAAGACACTGAAATAAAATGCTGTTGAAGCAACAGTAGGGAAGTCAATAAAATTGATTTTTCTTGTCTATACCATGGATAGGATAAAATATTGCAGTTTTCATATAGGTGATTCCTTGGTCAGTCAACAATTTTAACTTCTCATAGTGGAGAAAAATCTGGTTCTCTTTTTTCATATTTATACTAATAACACTATAAAACATTCCTACTTTCTGTATTAGCATCTAGTATACAATAAACACATATGAAGAAAGGGTTGTAATATACAATATTTATTAGTTAAGAGTACAGCAAATTACATGGACATTTACTCCACTGAGAACCAACTTTCTCTTGAAATATTATGCATTTTGTTTGTTTTTCATAAGAAAAGCAACTAACTGACCAAAACAAACATTATCTATACAAATGGTATATGCATGTCCTCCTCAGTAGATACAGGCTTCTGTGGATAGTAGTGGAACTGTTTTATTACAGTCAATACCTCTAAGATATTAAAAGGCCAAAACAAGTCTTGACTGCTGATGTCCTGCTCTTCAGATTTTTCATGATCCAATCCGACTGTAACGTCCAATGTCCCTGGTCACCACCTTGCCCTCTGAATCCCAGACATATGGTTGTGGTCAGCTAACTCACGGAAGATAACCCGGCTCAGTCGCCACCTCCGCTTCACTCCCCGAGGTCTGGAGGTCAGCACACACCTGTTGCGTATTCTCACAGGGCAGCTGTCCCTGGGGAATGCTGCCATTTCTTTATCTGCCACCTCCTGCAAAACATAGATAAACAAAAAAAAAACAACAATTGTGGATTGTGGAATAAGATTTACTCTTTTACTCTGTACACTGCCTTTTTTATAAAAAGAAGACAATTTGGCTAAAATGAAAAACGTTCAGCTGTTTAGAGATCCGCACAAAGATGCAGGCTCCATTTTCAAGTGAGATTTCATACTGCATTCGCTACAAAATACTGGGAAAAAAAATGACACACACTATTTAAAGTCACATTCAAAACAATGAAGTATGTTCCCCAGTTGTGCATTACATTAGACCAAACTCTACATGTGTGTTAAAAACTTTAACACCTAGTTTTATTAAGTTTTTAAATTACAGCTCACTCTGAATCATTAATTAAGACAAGTGGAATTTATGGAAGAGCAACACAATGAGACCATATTGTCACAATCCCGATTCCAGTGAAATTGAATAAATGATAACATTGAATTATTGCTCCGTTCTAAGACACACTAATTAAAAGAAATAGAGCATTGTACCTGAAGCTCTTTGGGCAGGATGGTGTTCTTCCTCAGGGCATTGATCCGTAACCTCTCATCAGCATAGTCGAAGGCCGTCTGTCTTCTCTTGACGTCCCTCAACATCCTCCAGTTGACGTAGTAACCCCTCACCTGCTCCACCGCCCCCCAGCAGCTCCTCAGGGCCTGCACAGTGTTCCAGTAATTCTTATTGACTGACAGCTAATATTATTAATAATGTACCACACAGAGAATGTACGGCTGGAATGTATGGAGATATATGTAAGATACTAATGACACAGGCTGCTCGTAAAGCCTTTTTGCAGAGAGTACATCAAAAACATTGGTCACAGTAACATATAGATGTAGATTTACATATGGATAATATGAGAATAGTCCTACCAACACTTCTTCTTGTGATCATAAGGCTGATTGCTCTATGTAGTTATCAAACTATCAAATACAATCAATATTGATAGAGATAAAAACCTGTAATTTGTCTGCACTTTATTGAGAGAAATTATAGGAGGAAAATGCATTTAAACAAACTTAATTCGACCATTAGTTCACGCAGTTTTGTAGCATGAGAAAGACTACAAAGTTTAAAAGAGAATCTTTGAGATCTACATCATCAAACTATGTGCTTGTCCATATTCAGATCAAGGTAGCTCATTGTATGCATGCAGTACAATTTTTAACCTTCTTATCTATTGCTCTGTATTTAATAACTACAAAAATAAGGCCTGTATATTTTGTAAACCTAACATAAACAACTTGATAACAGTTTACAGCAATTGTGTTATCACAAACTGAACCATTTGACATAAACCCTACCAACTACTGAGCTTTCACACGTTTAACCATTCAAGGTTAAACCTATATGTCAACATTACAATAGACCTATATCTGGTCTTTGAGCATGTTTGGCCTCGGCCCTTTCACCTGACCTACAAAAACCCACTGAGCTCAGTGAGGCTGATGTGAGGAAGGCTCGGTGGTGTAACACAGGTGAGGATGTGTTTCATGACACCGTTAGCTTCAGAAATTAAATTGAAATCTTTTATAAGCTGCCACAGACAAAACCCGTGAGAAACGTTTCCATTCTAACCCGAGCCAATCAGAGTATAAATAAACTAATACTACAGTAAATAGACAAGCAGTTAGTTAACTTAGCAACGAGCGACCAAAAGGTGTTTGTCACTTAGCAGGCTAACTAGCATTAGCTTAGCAAGTACGACCACTAACTAACTAACTAGCTCTAAAAACGCTGCTTTCTAAATCCTTCTGCCAGACGATGCAGCCCTAATGAAAAACCCCCAAAACACAACGTAATAATAAGTTAGTTACCTGCTTTGGGGCGCAGACACTAGAATAAAGGGCATTCAACCCTAAACATGCTACCCGGTGGGCCGCCATATTGAATGATTGCAGCTTCTTCTTCTTCTTCTTCTTCTTCTTCTTCTTCTTCTTCGGGTTTTAATGGCGGTTGGCAAACCAGCGTGTAGGCGCATTACCGCCACCTGCTGGACTGGAGAGTGTGGAGGAGGACGATAGTTATAACCACCTTTCGACCAGGAGTGTAAATGTTGTGTGGATTAATCCCATCCATGCTTTACAAATCATTTTATCAGAAGATAAGTCACACACACACACACACACACACAGCCATGTGGTAGGCTACATTTTATTACATCTGCCATGATTCAGACAAGGTGGTGCTTAAAGTGTGTAATGGATCCACAAACTAGAGAACTATAAGTACCTGATTTTGCTTTTTTTTTTTTTTTTTAAAGTTTGCGGTTATTTTGCTTTTAAAGAGTCTGAAATGTCAGGTAATGGATAATCAAGAAGGTAGCCTAGATATTCCCTTTGAAGACATTATACTGCAAGTATAAACTCCTAATACTGATTGTCTGATTAATGACTAGTCCAAATTAACTCAGAGATATTTGATTGCAGGATTAGATTAAATGCTAGTTCAACACCAACTTCCTGATGCCCTTTTGACTTGATTTACAGGAGTCAATATGGCTGGGACTTTTTCTGACTCTTACTAGTTACCAACAGGTGGCAGTGTTGTTCTATGCGTATAAGCTCATACTCTCTCATTCTCACCACCCACCATAAGAGTAGGGTCCCTCTTCATACTGAATCTAAACCTTATGTCTGACCGAAATCCTATTCTTAAATCTTCTGAAAACCAGACCCATCTTTTCTCCCCTGACACCACCAACAATGAAACGCTTGTGTTTCAAGGAAGTACATATATAAAACATTGCACTGTGGTCTTCTTTCAACATATGGTTCAGCAAGGCAATGTCTTGAACAGTTTTTATAGAAGAAAAACCATTTAACAATAGCCACAGATTCCTCAGTTTTCTTAAACAATCCCCATTATTTTGTAGCCTTGAGGTGATGCGTTCTTGGATAAATATTAACATGTGACAAACTGCAGACAGTGCTTCCTCTATAAAGAGCAACATCATGAAGCAGGCTGGAAAAACTGTACAGGCCTCGGAGCATTGAATTAAATGAAAAATGAAAGTAGACAGTGGCATTTCTAAACCTGACATTCGGTATATAGAGAGACGTTAGAACAACACGACAATCACTGTTATTTAAGTATTTTCTTGTTTGCACGCAACAGAAAAACTTCAGGTGAAAATATTCAAATGTCTTTTATTTTTTCTGTTTAGAGGCAACAAATCTTTTTTTAATCACTGTAATTGTGAAATGACATGGTTGTCAACCAGGAAAAACATTTTTTTGTTCAGTTTTTGAGATTTAAAAAACTACAGCATTGTCATTTGACAGCAGCAGTATATCATAGTTAAACTGCTTTTTGGCCCTCAGTTGGTTTTGGCTTATAGTTCAAACCCCTGAGATGGCTGTTCCAAGATTACCAGACAGGCAAAATCATTCTTTCTTTTACCTCCATAGCACAGAGATGTCAAAGGCTTGAGAGGATCTGAAAGGTGACCTTCTATGTTTCTATATATTGTAAAGATTTAGGATAAATGCCGAACTGTCAGATTCTGCCAGTAAGAATAAAGCTTTGTGTAAATTAAAAATGCCTTTCTCTTAGAGAAGTTTTAACATAACATCAACATAAGATCTTAAACAGCTTGATCAGAGTAAACAACAAGGCTCTTTCTGATTAAATAATGAGAAACTGTACTAAACTACAACCAAATTCTAATAATATATACCGATCTCCCTAAATACAGGGAAATACTGTACATGATGATGCTTTGGCGCAACAAACATGCTGGTCATTACACAAAATAAAAACAAAATATGAAAATAATGACAACATGAGGATCTGACCTGGGCGTTTAGACATTTGGAGTGGATAATACAAATGACAGTAAGATGACAATGCAGTGTCTCGTTAGCTGGTATCAAAGCAATTGGATATTATTATTATAATATTGGAAGTGTCATGTAGACAAGTGTCTTAACAGTGCAGTGTGTGTGCCTTACAGGGGATCAAGACCTCAGGCTGGATCATAGCAAAGACTTGGGAGATTCGGGAACAAAGCCATGCAATATAAAACTGATGTGTTACTGAGATAAATTCAGATTACTCAGTGACACAGCAGACAAGTGGCCTCATCCATAAAAAATGACAGCAGTGCTGCGAACGTGGACAAAATGATGTAGCTGGGGCTGAGACTACTAGGTGCATTGGTTACACATTAGTATGGAAGCACCATGAAAGAAAGAAACATATAGAGTCCTTATAAAGCTCTGAAGTTAGGCTCTTGCCCTGCGTCGGACACATTCAAACTGAAGGAAAAAGCTCAGACAAACATATGTCAACAGAAGTCTAAACCTTAAGGGTAAACATGAGGTTGACATCTTTACAAATGCAATCAATCTTGTAAACAATAAACAAGCTGTTGGTGGGTGGGCTTTCCCACTTTTACAATGTGACCATCCTGTGAACATAGGTCACACACAGTCCACATAATCAACCAGTCAGGAGCAACATAGTAGTGAAATACATATTTATTATACCTAACTCTGGCATATTGGAGAGAGTGTGATCTCATTCTTTGAGACTGTTCAAGGCCATGGTTAGAGTTAGCATCACATCTCAGCATGTATTCCTCCGGTAGTTCAAATATTTGAAACTACTTTTGAGTGCAGTCATCTCCAGCTGCCAAAATAATATGTTCCTTATATTCCTATACCATAACATAATATTATATGGGGCCATAATGTGATGGAATTGGGGATAGGAAACAGTGCTGCCACTTTGGTTTCCCCAGTCTTTGCTGTAATGCCTGGCAATGATCCAGGTATAAAAACCAAGTCATAATTTTAAAGATAAGCACCTTTGTATATTTTCATAAATAAGTTGATTACTGTCCAGATATTATCCATATAGGCTATTACATTTTCTTCCCCTTTTTATCTGCTGGTTGGGACAAATGAACTCAATCTGTTATTGTTTAAAGGCTGAATGTTAAATCAGATGCGGGGCTTGATATTGATATTGCCCTTTATAGAAAATCTAAAAATGAGATGATGAAACAGGAACAGGGGGCCCTTACTGACAAAAAAAGCATTAAATACTGTGAATGAGCTGATTTTAAGTATTAGAAGAGATTATGTCGGATCAGTATACAAAAAGTTTTATCTATATATATTAAGAGGTACATGTACTTTAGTGTGTGCCTATTTTTATCTACGCCAAACACATTAGAGTCACTTAATGTCAAGAAAGTGTTATGTCTTGAAACACCAGTCTATACAAATGTGGTGAAGTGATTACAGTTCATTTTAAATACACTACTCTTTCTATGAAACCACAATCAAACATTCAGTACCTGGTGCAAAGAGGAAAAATGTAACAGTGAGACATTTCCTGTATTTCTCTCGCTTGGTAAAATAAATAACTCTTTCTGTCCTCGAGATGTTGTAAACTTCGCATGCAGAGCCACGAGCCTTCAACTGGACCATTATTTTATTGCGGACGTCTCTCGCAAACCTTTTTGCCAACTGAAAGGAACCAAGCACATGTTACTGTATTTAAAGGTGCTTTAATAAATCATTGACAAAGCAAACCATTCAGACTGGATTTCTGATCATGGAAAACTCATGCAGTCCTGGAAGTATATTTGAACACTGTATAAGTGCGCCTTAGGAGAAACTGAGACAGCAAAATTAGGCGAGAAAAAAAGCTTTTAGGCCTTCTACTACTTATAACTAAACACACTACTGAAAGAAACTAAATATAGCTCTGCAATGCTTGCTTTTATATTACATGTAACCCTCTGTTATTCAAAACAAGTCTTTAGATACTTAGATACTTAGATACTACGATATTTGGATACTGTAACAGCATTATTTGGTTGTGCTTCTAACAGTGTATACAATGACGTTAGGTATCAGGCTAAATCAGCAATCTTTAGTGATACCTTCACTGACACGTGAGCATGGGAACTCCTTCTCCTCTTAGTAATCAGTGTCCATTTGAGCAGATACAGCTCATTTAGTGAGAGGCCATGACCTGAGTGACTCAGAGGTCTCTGCTTTCCAGACCTCAGGAATGTGTACCATTCCCACAGGAGAAGAGACAGAAAGAGAGAGCTTGGTCAGATTTATGGCATGCATTCAAGTACACTCAAATCCTTAATGAATAAGTTCACATTTTAAGGCAAAGAAAATCCTCTTCGCGCCAATAAATTTAGCCAAAGGCATGTTTATTTAAGAGGGTAAAGTAGACGGGCTTTCCCAGAAATAGGATTGTTACACCTGATAAATAAGCAGTTTAGAAATGATTAAAAATGACATTTGGGGGTTAGATACTAATTGAATTCATATAATTAATAATATCAAAAGTCTACTGAGACTTTGTTTTTAATTATAACTAATATGTTATAATTAATAATGTTATAAAGTAAATGTATAATTTCCTAAAATGCCATAAATAAACAAAATACAAATATTTGACAGGGACAATAAGTAATTAATGTGCATAAACTTACATGCTTATGCCAATGTGTGACAAATTTGATCAATATCAGGTGAACGTTTTGAGCAGATGAGAGAACCAAAACTGACCATCAGGTATTTTTTAGCCTGGTCATTAGACATGTAAAATTGCATAGTCAAAATATACACTAAAAAGTGTCTGTTAAGGTTATAAGGGTTTGTTGTCGTATGTAATTCTATGCACCTACATTTCCTACTTTCACATACTGCGATAATGAAACCACCGGATACATTTGTCTGACTTTTAAAACATTCATTTATAGTATATAATGTTTTCACAAAAACTCAAGTCAAAACAAAGTCTCAAAGAAAAATTGTGCCCATCAAACAAGTTACACCATGTTGGCATGAGTCGTATGCCTGATTTTCTCATAGCATCTGTTTGATCATTTTCTTGTCCTGGCAGATAGATTACATACTTAATATTATCAATCACAATATTGTAAGACTTGGAACTGAGACTTTTGGGTCAAGTAAAAA